TTCCCTCTCTCGCTGTGTCTCTCTCTGTCAAATAAATAAATAAAATCTTAAAAAAAAAAAAAGAATTAGATATTGATACTACTCACTTGCTGTGTGGACTTTGAGGAGTTAAACAATCACCCTCTATAAGGTGAGGATACTTGACTAGATCTTGGAAGACTTTTTGCAGCTCTGAAGTGCTGTGACTGGAGGCCAGGCACCATCCCTGTCCCCTCCCACTAACTAGCAATGCCAGGTCTCCCTAAAGTGATGGCATTCAGCACCTGGCTTCAGGGACTACACAGGGTAAATCCTCTCCGTACTGTAGAAAGATAGAAGCCAAAGGGAGGGGAGGCCTGGATATAGATTAGAAGAAATTTAAGAAATAACCAAATGCAGTGTGGGGCCTTATTTGGATCTTAATTCAAATAAGACAACAGTATTTTAAAACCTTTTTTTGGAGGGGGGGTAGAATATTTGAACACTTGACTGGATATTTGATAGTAAGAGGTTGTTTTTAAAAATTTAGGCATAGCAATGGTATTGTAGCTTGTTTTTTAAAAAATCCTTCTTTATCATTGGAGATACATTCTGAAATACTTATGGATGAAATGATGTGATGTCTCAGATTTGCTTTAGAATAAATCATTGGGAGGGGACGTCTAAATGAAAGAAGGTTGGCCATGTGTTGATAATTGTTGAGGTCACATGGAGGAAACTAGGGGTCCATTATACGTTATATTGTAGGTTTGTTTAAAATACATCACAGCAGGGCGCCTGGGTGGCTCAGTTGGTTAAGCGACTGCCTTCGGCTCAGGTCATGATCTTGGAGTCCCGGGACTCTTGGAGTCCCTCATCAGGCTCCCTGCTCAGCAGGGAGTCTGCTTCTCCCTCTGACTCTCCCCCCTCTCATGTGCTCTCTCTCTCATTCTCTCTCTTTCAAATAAATAAATAAAAAATCTTTAAAAAAAATAAAATACATCCCAGCAAAAGCTTTTTAAAAAAAATACTTTCAGTACCAAGCTGTGATGAAGGTAAGAATAGTTTTGTAATTTTAGAAGAGAGCAAAGAGATAAGTACTTGATAGTTCTATCCCAGTGTTTTTGCTGACTTTCTGCATGGATTTAAAATAAATACCATTTTACTCATATGCCTACTTCCAAGGAGGACCTCCTTGTGGCCTGTAACAAGGTAGGCAGGTGCTTTGAGATCTTATTTCCCATTCCCAAGTTAAGCAGTTTTATTTACTTTCCTCACAGATTTCGATGGAGTCCTCTATCATATTTCAAATCCCAATGGAGACAAAACAAAAGTGATGGTCAGTATTTCTTTGAAATTCTACAAGGAACTTCAGGCACATGGTGCTGATGAGGTATGTTCCACATCATTTTCCTTGGGACTTTTTATTTCCTCTTCACCTTATTGGCAGCTTGCCACTCCTAGAAGGTCTGTGGCACTGGTCACGCCTACTGGCACTGGCCACTCCGGACAGCTTGCTCACCTAACCAGGGGCTCTTGACCCATAATGATATAAAGAAGCGTGTTTTTCAGAAAAAGCTTTGGAGCTTTGCTTGTTGTTCATTACTCTAGAAAAATAAAGGTGTTCCCTAACCAATGAAAACAAAAACAACTTTAGTTTCCCAAAAATACACCAAAGAATACATTCTTTGACCACTATAAAAATAGCTATCACAGGGCACCTGAGTGGCTCAGTCAGTTAACAGCCACCTCTTGATCTCAGCTCAGGTATTGATCTCAGGGTCGTGAGTTCAAGCCCTGCGTTGGGCTCCACATTGTGGAGCCTACTTAAGAAATAGCTATCTCAAGATAGATGGGTTCCATTCTATTTCTATAATATTGTGAAGCAGGTATACAGCTCTGGCCTTTAAAATTTATGGTCTTAATTTCTCATTCTGGAAATTTAAGCACAAGTCTGCCCTTTAAATTTTTTGATTTAAACTTCTTTAGAGCTGGCCGCTTTAAGTTTCTCTTCTTCCCTATGACTACCTTTGGGGAAGTAAGAAAGGCTGTCCATGTATTTTGAAATTCTTGATGGCCATGCCTCATTCACTGGCTTCTTTCTATAGCTAAAGTAGCAGGTTTGGTTCCTGTTGAACTATATTTGCTCTGGGGAGAGCCATTTATGGAAGAAAGAAAATGCTGTTACACTAGTGTGCACACGTTGTGGTTGGGTCTCAAAGCAGGAAGTATGACTCAGTTCCTGAATCAGTTTTCAGCTATCTTTTAGTTTTAACAAGCTAGGTTCTCCTTAATCCGGTGAATGAAGATACAGCTATTTCTATTTTCTTTCTGATAAAGAGCAGTAGCTTTTGAAATATTTAAAATTTATGCAATGAAAAGGCTGTTTGCAATAAAAAAAGATCAAAATCCATCTCAATGATATTTTGGTATTAAAACCAAAACTGATATTAAATACAGTCCCAAGAGCCATAGGCAGTCGTTTTCTTAGTTATTCGTAAGCAGTTGATCTGTCCCAGCAATTCAAGGGAAGAGCCAAAACTTTTTCTCATTTGCCTCATAAGTTCAATGGAAGAAGAGATGTGTAGAGAATTTGTATTTGGGGTGATTTTATCTGAAAGAAAAGCTTCAGGAGGAAGACCTCGTCTCATAAAACATATGAAGGATCATTCTATAAAAGTTAGTGGCCAACTCCCTTTACCAGATTAACAAAAGGGAACAAGTAACCGTTAAAGTGGCCCCGCTTTTGATTAACCATAAAATGACTACCTGAAAAGAATTGTTAAGGCTTTGAACAGACAACTCAAAATTGTGTAATCATTCTCCCCAGACAGTCCTCCCTC